TGTAAATCAGGGGGGAACCTATCTTCTTTCTTTGATATTAAGAGGGGCTGCCGACAGGGGGACCCGGTCGCACCGTATATGTTTATTCTTTGTGCTGAGGTTTTGGCAATAAAGTTAAGAAACAATAGAAATATCATTGCTGTTGAAGTAGAAAACTGTCCTATATTACTATCTCAGTATGCTGATGATACTTCGCTTATCCTCGATGGGTCTGAAAAATCACTAAAAGAATCCATCAGAGAGCTTAATGAATTTGCAAATATTTCTGGATTAAAAATGAATATTGATAAAACTCAGGTAATATGGATTGGAAGTAAAAAATATAATGAGGATAAACTTTTACCTGAACTTAACCTACAGTGGGGCAAAGAAAGATTTACATTATTAGGAGTTGATTTTAGTGTGAATCTACATGAAATACCGAAACTAAACTTTGATAAAAAACTCACTAAACTGAAATCGCTTATAAAAATATGGAATAGAAGATCATTAACTCCAATAGGAAAAATAAATATTATAAAGTCGTTGCTTATATTACAATTTAATCATCTCTTTATTTCATTACCTAATCCAGATGAGAAGTTTCTGTTTAAACTCAACTCTCTACTTTTTGACTTTCTATGGGATGGAAGACCAGATAAAATCAAATGGGATACAGTTATGCAAAACTATGCTAATGGTGGTCTTAAGATGGTCAATCTTATAGCTTTTATAAATGCATTGAAACTGACTTGGATAAGGAGACTCTATCGCAGTACTGAGAAATGGCAGATAATTCTAAAAACCTATATTGACACTGACCTTCTTGCAAACTGTGGTAATAATTATATTCATTTATGCATAAAAAAGTGCAAAAACAAATTTTGGTGTGATGTTTTCAAAGCTTGGGGTACACTTAACACAAAATATGAGGATAAGCTATTTCAGAGTAATATATTATCTGTCCCAAATTGGTATAACAATAAAATAAAGATAGGAGGTAAAACAGTATTTTATGAGAGTTGGTTTAAGAAGAATATAACTATCATAGCTAATTTAATCAAAGATACCAACAGATGTGTTTTCTATGGAAGGGAAGAATTTATTCGAAAATATCAAATAAATACAAATTTTTTACAATACCAGGGTCTGGTCTCTGCAGTCAAAAATTTATTGCATCAGATACTATCTCTAACCCCTCTATAATCTATCCTTGCATACCAATCACCTTACGTATCTTTCTTCAAGACAAAAAAGGGTCAAAAAGGTTTTATAATACTCTAATTAAATGTAACGTGTTACCATCGGGTACCAAAAAATGGAATAGTATATTTGATAATATAGATAAACAAACTTGGGATAAGTACTATTTAATGCCATTCCATGTAACAAAAAATACAAAGTTCCAGTGGTTCCAGTATAGGGTAATCCACCATGCATTAGCAACAAATTCCCTTCTTTTTAAAATTAGATTAGTTATCTCCCCTCTTTGTGTGTTGTGTAACTCTGAGCACGAAACAATCAGTCATCTGCTGTGGGAATGTCAGGAAGTACAAAGACTATTAGAGAGTCTTGATATTTTGTTAGAAGCTCTATTTATCCCTTTCTCAGTAAACAAGCAAACTTTCATTCTTGGTCTCCTACATCAAAACTTCCTTCCGAGTAACAGAGTAGACAATGAGATTATAATTATTATCAAACAGTATATTTATAAAATGAGATGCTTACACCATTCACTAAACTTGCATGCACTAATTAATACAATCAAAGATAATTATATGATACAAAAATATATAGCTAATGGTAAGGATGATAAAGTAAAACGTAAATTTGAGAATGAATGGAAAAAATGGGAAAAATTATTACAGTTTTGATCTACACACTTTGATCTATTACCCATCGCATTACTAGTTTTTCTTTTTTTCTTTTTTTTTCTATAATTTTTTATAATTATATACATAACAGTCCTTGACCATACCGAGTAATCAGATATAAAGAAAGAAAAACATTAAAAGATTAAATTACTCTAACCTATTTTACCATCTCACCCAACAATCCACTATACTATTTCTTCATTTTCTTCAATTTCTTTCTCTTTAAATTTCTTATCCCTAATAAAGTTCTATTTCATTTCCTCATTTCTGTATGTTGATGTCAATTTATGGTTGTGTGTGTGTTTATGCATGTGTGCATGGGTGCATTTCAAACAAAAGTTTACTGTGATATTTATGAATCAGAAGGTTCCATAATGGTTATGAAAGTATGAATCTTGATTTGATGATGATAATGAATTGTTGAATGTGGATGATGATGATGCATTATTTAGTATGTACAATAATCATGATAGTAATATTGATTGTGATATATATGTTGAAATGGATGATGAGGAAGATTATCATGTTTTTGAGGATGATGATGATGATGATGATGATGCATTATTTAGTGTGTAACATAATAATATTGATTGTGATATATGAGGATTATCATGTATGGTGATAATAATAATAGTAGTAATGATCACATGCATTTTTGAATGTTGATGATGATGTTGATGATTCTTTTGAATGGAATGTACTTGTTTGACACGCAATGACTATATGTGCACCTGTGGTTGGATGTGTGAGAGCGTGTAAAATCTTGAAAAATAAGAAATTATAAAAAAAAAAGTGTTTACTTGTGTGAAGTTTGATAAAAATTTCTCAAGGAATGCAACCAGCAGAGTGCTTACAAGGATTTTCTAAAAATTTTGATGCTGACCTTGACCTTGACTGACAAGGATGTTCTTAAAATATTGTCATTGACCTTGACTCTGACCTTATAACCTTGAAACATAACATGTCCAAAAAATTATGATCCCTGTATAAGTGTTAAGCTAAATGAAAATCGCACATAAAATGAAGCTGTTAGAACACTGACAAGGGTTTCTTAGAGTATTAAACATGACCTTGACCTTGTCTGTAGAACACTAAAATTTGAATTCATACCAGATAAAATTGCCCTTATGAGTACGTTAGGTTTGATTAAAACCCCTTAAGAATGAAGCTGCTACAGTGTTGACAAGGTTAAGTGTGCCCTTACTTATGAACTTACATACATACGCCATGTATAGCAATTCCTATATTCCCCCCAGACATTCCTCATTAAAGGATAATTACTAGCTACATATACAGCTAGCATTATATTCTTATAAAAGGAAATAATAGAAATACACATGTATATATTGTAGCTGGAAATCTTTACAATATATTCATCAAATAATGTAATCACATGTATCGAGGATTTTCCACAAGCATTGTATTTGGAGTTTTAAGGATTTTTAGTTTTATTTCTAGTGAGATATCATTATGAACAAGATCAATAATTAAAACTGTCCAGAGTTTGTTTACATACACCAATATACACATACCATTTCCTGTTTTAACAATGTCCTTATCAATCCTATAGTAGTTTATCTGCCAAGTAATATAAGTAATCAGAAATACATGTAAATCATATGAAATAGAAAATTAACCTGTTCTTTGGAGCAGCGCTTCAGTATGGCCTCAACTGGTCCTACCGGATCTTCTAAAGTTTCCAGCTGGAACATAGACAAAAAATGTTACTTATCATTCAATCTGTTTTGAAATGCATGCACTATATCAAATCTTATTCATATTTTATCATGCAAAGACAAGAATTCCACATGGAAAACTGATCAATTAGGTGTATTTCTTGGTACCACTGGAAAACAGGTTATGTAGGTAAATAACAAAATATAAAATTAATATTTTTTCAAAACAGTGCTGAAGACCACTTCAATATCCTGAAGTGCATCTCATTAACAATGAATCGTTATTTACAAGAACAATTAACTGAGTGTGTCTTACCTTAACACAATTCCTGAGTATCACAGACATGTCGCTAGCACCTGTCGCCATGACAACCCCAGGACTGTCAAGCAGCTTAATATGTTTGTCTAACTGCACTTCCTGCATGGCTCTGTGAAGATGATAAGAGGAGATCAAGCATTGTCAGTTACCATATGCACATAATTTTGTTTTATCTACAGAAAGCTGTTTACAAAACAATAAATATATTACAAGACGAGAAAAATTACAGTTGTGTTTGTGAATAATATCATCACAACAGATATACCACATTAAATAGATAACTTTTTAATACATGTAGCAAAAGAGGACAAATCTGAATGCCAGCCACCAACAACAAGATAGCACATCTGTTGAAAATCATTGCTATTTTACATGAATTCCTAATTCTACAGTCCATGTATTAAGGACTTGTAAGTCCTAGAATGACATCCTGACCTGACTATACCTGTTCTAAATTTACATGTCATTTATTGAGTCTATATAGTGAGTGTATGCTGCATAGAGCCAACAACGACCATTATAAATTAATGAGTTGAAAGGTGATATGTTACCTGGTAATTCCTGGCTGTGATCCTACATTACAAGCTTTACATCGCTTCAGACTGTTAATTATACTGCTCTTCCCTGTGTTAGGAAATCCTGGAATAGAATTCTATGCTTTTTAAACAATCTAAATATATCACATCTATTGTTTTACTTTTTTTGGTATGATTTCTAGACTTATAATCAATTAATATTTACAAAATTATTTTTGCAAAATTATGTGTCTCACATGTCCTTAATTCTTGGTATGGTAATTCTTAAGCAACATACAGAACACATTAAACTTTATGTTGCCCCAGCCTCCCAAAATATGAAGTTTATGAGTTAATTTTACATATACAACATGTGAGCACTATATATGGTTGTCATGTTTAAATACTGATCCATTGTAAAACATTAAATGAAAATACTGTAAATTCTTTAACTCTCAAAATTCCTTAACATGACAATTTTACTCCAAACACATCCATCTTCCCAAGGAGGAAGACGAAAACTCATCGGATATTTCACCAAACTTGTTTTAATAGGACTAATCTAAAATGAATATAACAAGTCAAATAGATTTGTTGCTGCCGTTCCCAAAATATCAACTTTATGTAATCTATTTGGTAAGTTCAGATGTTCATACTTACACTTGTACTTTATGAGAAACTGGGCAAAATGGAAAGCTTGAAAAACCAGCTACTCAGCATCTCTAATATTCAGAGTTGCTAGACGCCAAAATTTGATGTTGTATTTCTAACTTTTTACAGAACAGATTTGAACACAGACTTTAAAGTGAAATTTTTAAACTGTTACCAACACCACCAGAAAGTGACACCATACTTTGGCTTTCACATCTTTTCCTCATAACAAGACAACATACTCTGTATCAGCTCACCTGGGTGTCTTTATCACATGTATATGGCTTCTGTCTACTTTGTTATATTAATCTCCCTACTCCAAATGTTATGATCAAACTTACCCACTACACCCACGCGTATTGCTGTCTTGATGTCTTTACTTCGGCAGTAGTTACCCAGCAGTTTCATCAGGATCTCAGCTCCTATACAATGACTGGACTTCAAAACATCTTCACTCACTGTGGCCAAGGTTACCTTTTTCTGACTCTGAAGGTCATTTAAGATTAGAATTTAACATATAACATATAATCTTTACAAAAACAATGATCATGCAATTTTAGTCTCACACTTATCATCTTTTTCATTAGTAAACATTATTTTAAATGGATCCAAACTACTTCCTGTTTACAATAATCTTACACTTTTCAGACAGGAAGGTCTCCAAACTTACAGCTTATGAATTCTGATGTAGATAAAACACATGTTAACTGATGTAATCATCATTTTGATATGTTTATTTCATATCAGCTCTTCTTACCAGGTTATCAGCCTGTGTCTGTGTGGAAGCCTTGAATGCCACTGTTGGGAACTCATTCCGTAAGTGAGTCAACCATGCCTCTACATTTTCACGAGGAACAAGATCTAAAACACACCAACAAAGATAACTGACACCTCCGTTATAGGGATAGTATTGGATTTGCTGTCAGAGTCTGATTTATCTAAAATCTTCACACTAGATTGACTAGAATATGGATTTATCTGAAGGACAGTTATCTCCACATTATTGTACCAATTAAAATTCCTAAGATTTGCTTTGTTTTCTGTGCATTTCGTCGTTGCTTGATAATAGTCCTGTTTGTTTTAATTGTCACTATTTCTCTTGGTTTCTTACATGTCTGTACCTATTTCTATGGTTTTCTTTGTCTTTGTTTATGTCTGTGTTTCTATGGTTTCCCATTTATTGGTACTGGTCAGAGTGTTTTCAGTTCCCTATGTCTTAGTGTTTCTATGGTTTCTTACATGTTGGTACCTCACCTCATGTTTCTAAGGTCCATATGTGCTGGTACCCCTTGATTTTTATGGTTTTCTTGTGACCTACCAAAGATTACAAAGTTACCTATCAATTCCTTTCAGCTGCTGGTACATGTCAACGTTTCTATGGTTACCTATGTTTTAGTACTTGTCACAGTTTTATTTCTTGTGTTCGATGGTGGTACCTATTAAGTGTCTACAGTTATTTATGTACAGGTATATATGGCAGTTTTAATACTTCCTTGGTACCACACTGTGAATTAAACATATGTATGTACCTATTTTGTTGAGTACTAGCACCAAGCGTTTGTTGGCACCACTGCTAATGATTGCCTCCTCCATCTGGGCACATCTACTCCCTAAAGGGTCCCGAGCATCTAGTACCTCCAGCACCACATCAGCAGCATCCACGACCTGAAGGTCAAGGTTACGCCATTTAAATCTTCTAACTTTCTCAATGGTAAGGATGAAAACATGTTACACCACATACATTTCCCTAACATGTTAAGATAAGGTAAGGGGTGAAACAATTCATCATGATTTGATATGGAATGCAACACTTGCCTTCTGATTCAATTTTCAAAATTTCATACTCATTGTCATTTAACACAGAATTCAAACATAAACAATTTCCTCCTCTCTTTACAAGCAGCAAGAAAGGATCATATTATATTGTTTTTACTTTTTTCAAATTGATGGTTACAGTAAACCTCTGGTCAGTTCCAACAGGTGGGTAGTTTAAACAAGCGATTCTTTTCCATAAAAACAATCATTTTCTGTCTGATGATAATTCAAATACGTTCTATTTTTGTTTCACTTTCAATTTAAATTGTTCAAACCCATCCTGAGATTGTATGTCTGTCCAATTATTGATCACAATACTGGCATTTCAATAACTGATCTATGTGGTCACTTTTCAAATCATAGTAACACTGCAAGTGTTTCAAAATATAATCTTATCATAATTGACACATTTTCCAATGTTTTAAACAGGTCATTTTCTTCACCAATCAGTAGATTCCTGCCTTGCTGAGACATTTGTCATGATAAGTAATGCTGATAGTTCAAACTCTAATCTGTTTTCATATGCATACCAAGGTAATTTTTGTTAATTTGAATGGGTTCAACAATATTAATTTTACTTCATTCTGACTGATTGAAGATTTACCATATTATGTTTATTGAAAATAATCCAACTAAAATCTTGATGTGCATCTCATCAGAAATGAAATGTACCCCTACAGCCCTTGGTTAAGTATATACTAATGAGAATGACACTAATTTGTCTTGTTCAGTTCTCACCTTTCTGAATTCTTTATAAAATGCCTTAAGTGAAGTCTCCACTGCTTTCCCTGAAGCTTTGCCTTCTGCTGTTGTTCCTGATGTTTTCTGAAAAATTAATCAGGTTTGATATCTTTGTACCATGATGAGAGACAGAAAACTATTTTGTTTAGGTATCAATATCTTATAAACAACAGCGATTTTTGGTTTAAGCTAAAAGGTCATATTTATTTTCTTTTTAAATGAAGAAACCAATATGACTCTATAACTTTCTTTTTTGATTCGGGTTAATGCCATAAAAAGGCTTCTTTCTGGTGTATGTAATAGGAAAATTTTACCTTCTTTTCATATTCCCCACTTCGTTTTTGTGCATCTTTCAAAATCCCTTCTAAATTCCTCTTCTTTGCTAGATTTCTTTCTCTATCCTTTTTCCGCTTTTGTTTTCGTTTCTGTTGTTCTTCCTCAAGCTGGTAAAAAATGACACAGAGAAAATATTTTATAAGTTCTAATGAAATCCTATTCACTGTGACTATATAGTGAAGAAAGGCTTGTTGAGAAACAACAACCATCATTGTGAGCAAGTATTCTGATCTGATAGACTGCTAGTACTTCATTCTCTGTCATTTTTAATATTTAGCATCATACCCGCTGTTTCCTTTCCTGGGCTTCCTTTAACACAATTTCTTTGAATGGCAAACTGTTTGGAATTCCTGGATCCTTTTTCATCTCTGTCACAAAAGATTAAAGTTATATTCAAATGTACTGGTCAAGGGTACTTACAAAACAGTTTCAACTGGATCTTTTATTTTGGTTTTAGTTAAGGACTGATACAGTCAATACTTTCAGCTTTTACAATTTTTATATGGGGTCAAATCAAGAGAGCAAACCATTGGTCAGCAATAGATAAAAGTAATTATACTTTTAATTTGTAAATCAAAGGCTCACGTCAATGGTAATTCTGTACCTGCTATATGTTGTAGGACAAAATTCAGACACACTATCCATTTCTGTGAACTCCCATCAATAAATACTTACTTTTGCTACCATTTTTCTTTTCCATTTTCTTTACTTTCTTTTTGTGTTGCCTGACCTTGAATCAATAAAACAATTAATTAATTATTTATTGAATCACTAGAACAGTTACCTTATTGATTATTTATTGTAAACTGAAACAATACTACAGGTAATGATATCAGTTAGAAACTTGAAGGTTATTGATTCTGAAAACTTATTACCAATATCAGGGTTTTCCATAATTTTGTTAGTATTAGGCTGTGTAGTGAAAGTAGGAGGCTGGCCTGCCGTGTATGTGTAGTCGTGTACGGAACATTATTACGGAACTGGATTGGTGTAGGCGGCCAAATGATCAAAGTAGGTGGTCAAATTGGCCGGCGACCGGCTCTTATGGGAAACCCTGCAATATCCATTAATACCAACTCCCCAATATCTTACCTTCTTCTCAACTTTGTACCTATGTCTGGCAGACTGTCTTTTACTTGCTTTTCCTGAATAAACAAAGACAAATTTAGATTTATATCTGGAAATATATGACTTGTGTTTTCATACTGAATCTACAGAACATGGAGTTTCTTTTATTTCTAGTGTCAAATAAAGCAAACTAATATAAACTGAAAATTATGGGGAAGTTTAACAGTCCTCATAGTAACCTAATTGAGAAACATTCTATTTCTTTGTGAGATATGAAGCAGGACATGTTTGATGCTCATTAGTTTGCCAGGTGATTCTGTTGTTTTAATTACTAGTTTTCACTTGAGAAAATGACATACATACTTGGATTGACCAATGTTTAAATGTCGTCAATGAAGCAGAAGACATTTACTCTTCCGGAACACCTTTTCTTATTATCCTTGTATTTTTTCATGAGTTTCTATGTAAATCTTTCCTTTGTTCATATTTTGCCTTAGTTTTATTGACTCTGAGTTTGGATTATTATTATGTTCACATGTTGTTTATTTCTTATGTTTTATATTGGTGTGATATTTTGACACACATTGTTGTGGGGTTAGATAATTCACACATACAACGTATACCTTTTATATATATCACCAATTTAGATTTTTCAAAAATAATATACCTCTGTTCATTTCATAACATCCCCGCTGACATCTGTGTTCACCATTTCATCCTGTTACTTATAGGGCATGATTTACCTCATTCAAAGATTGCCGTTTTCAGTAAAATATATTTCTAAGGCAGTTTACATATATATACCCTTCCATTATTCATGTAAATTGAAAGATCAAATGTTTAATACACAATACGTGTTTTCTCTTCACTCCATTGCTGAGTTGCACTATAACTTATATACAATCAAACTTACAGTAATAAGATACTCCCCAAAATCTGTGAGCTATTAAACAACTTTCAAGTCATACGGAATTCTACTCAGTAATAATGATAATACTAATAAGTATAATATTTAAACGTGAAAGTGGTTAGGGATTTCCAAAACTGGTTATAGGTGCATAAATATATTTTGTTGCATTCATGTATATTAGCATTTTTGCTGACCCTCGGATCACCAAGTTTAGCAATAATAATCTAATTTAATGACTGAAGGGCTGTATCAGTGATAGAGTATGGGATTATATTTTATACTAATCACGACATTAGTGCTATCTCATTATCATACATAAGTGTTTATCTTAATTATGTGTGTTTGTTTTTAATCATACTATGTTTACTTACTCATGTACAAGTTCGCCATCGTTAAAATTCTGATCCACGAAACCCACAAACACCACCACGTGAAACCATGAGAGGAAACAGTATCTATGCATGTAAATTAGAAGTCAAAACACTGAACGAAAGTTCCGGAATTATGTTCGTTGCTATCCGTGTAGGTTGTCCCAATGAGCTCAAGGCAATTCTTTGTGTGCGTTTAGCTCAACTATTAAGGAATACGCATCTACATAAATTAACAAGCCACTCTTCGGTTTCACGAACAGTCAAATGTATCACCATGGAAATATCAAGATCATCATGAGTTTTGTAAAACCAGTCACAAAAGCATATAACAGGCCCCCAGATCTGACATCGCGTGCTTTCTGGCGTGCTTACGTGCAAGTTAAGTCTGCCACTTGTGTCCTGAAGCATTGCTTGAAAAATGACACACCACTTCGTTATGAGAGTTCCTATTTTCTCATGTTTTTTTTCTTTTCTTTTCTTTTTTGTTTATTTTTCTTTATATGAAATTTGAGCATTCCTGTTGTAAAACAAGTGATAATAATATTCAACTGCCAAATCAAAGATGGTTGTCTGACGTGTCCTAAAATCAAAAGAACACATCTAAGGACCAAGCGCGACCTAACTGTAAAACTTGAGAAAAAAATGTCGGGTACTTTTTAAAAACTGACAATGACATACTTCCATTGTCAAAATCTATAATGGTCATCTGTCATTGTTTATTTGTTTTCAGTGACAGACCAAGGGAAACCTACATTTAAAATTCAGTGGAAAAAAAACCATTCAGTTCATTTCTTTCTTTTCAGAAATCAGACATTTTTTTCTCATCAGTCATAAAATCGATCTTGAAGGGCTAAAACAGTAGCGTAGCAATATGGTTAAGCATACGTACGAAATAGCTATTATTGTGACTGACAAAAATGATTACTGCATTTTGCCATTTTTGTTGAATAAAATGTGTTGGTGTAAATAAGATTTTTCTGATTAGTAGATACCCGACAGCTTCAGTGGGGATTCACGCCCTTGACTCCCTACCGAGGCCTTACCCCTGGACTCTCTCTTGAAAGCATACACTCCTAAAAGACATTTGCTATGCCACTGACATCTATGACCATTTGACACCTACAATTAAATGTGAGAAATATCCATCCCGAAGTTCTCAAGAAACAGTAATTTGAATATTTATCTAACTTATCACCATGCCATCTAGTAGAGTAAAGCGAAGGGAAGTAACTCTGGGCGATCGGAATGGCCATCTGAGGATGACGGGTTCAAAAAACGAGTTTTTCTCCATCCTCAATACTCCAGTAGTTACGCTCACTTTCGCTACATCCCTGAAACATTCTCGGGTCGCATAAAGGTATGTTATTGGCTTTGAATGTGTGTGTCGCTCCTTCGAATTTTTCAATGAACGTATCAGTCTGTGATTGTTTCCCACTCTCTCTCTCTCTCTCCAGAAACCAGACCAATAAAAATTTCTTCGCTTGTGCAGGGACGTATAATGGCTTGTGCCTCCAGCTTCTGAAACTTCTTTTTTAAACCAGAAATCTTTAGTTATGTTTGACATCCAGACCGATTCAATTCCCAGGAAGATAGCTTTAACGTTGTGTGGTTTTAAAAGGCGATCTCTTTCAGCTGCCCAAGGAGATTGGATGCCTACTCCACCATTGCAACATTTTTACATCCTTTACAGCAACATTGTTTCCTTGTTTTGCTGTTTCTTTTTTGACCAGTCTTTTGAAATAAACGGAAAAAAGATCACATTTAGGGGAGGTGGTTGGTTTGTTAACTTGACACACCTGAGTGCCACAGTGAAAGAACTGTCCCGGTGTAGCATGATATTGCAGGGACGTCCCTGGATATTGTGAAGCATGGGGAAATGAACCGCAGCAAAAACCATAATCGTGAAATGAACCGTGGGTCACTTCACAATTATGGTGAAATGAACATCCCCCCCGCCGGTAAAGTGATGTCACTTTATATTCTGTTTTCAGCTGATGTTTCTGCACTTAATTTTATCACTTTCATTTAGTAATTTCCTCCTGGAACTGGGCCGTGGAAAAGTGAAATATTACACTATTATCTAACTGATTAACCCTTTTCCACCAATTTTTGCATCAATAACAAAAAATTGGTCTGGGTGGGAAAATTTTGTTTGTTTGTATGTTTTATTATGTATTTAGGAACATAATTCAGTGTACTGATAAAAGATTAAGTGAAGAAACAGCAACAGAGTATATAGTGGCTTCACTTTACCATACTACATCATGTCACAAGCCTCAGCGACTGACCATTTAATGTAGAGATTTAATTGCTTTGAAAGTATTTATCATCAAGCGTTTGATATTTGAAGTGTAGCTATTATACAACTGAAATAGCAGGATTTTCGTTATTTTAGTTGTATAAAACATTTCGCATATAGAATTCATTTCCTGTACTAAAGTGGCCAGCAAGATGGTTTAAGTTGATGGGGCCGAATATTAAATTCATGCATACCAGATACGTATCCTTCAGGTTGCTTTGCTGCCTTTTTTGGGGGAAAATAATTATAATTTTCTTGGCGCATGAACCATTTACTTATGCACACGTTTCAGAAAAATCCAGCCCTTCAACATCTTGTACAATTAAGTCATGATAAGCATTTTCTACATACATAATCGGTATTGACAAGTCTTTGCTATCAACTCATTTTCTAAATAGAGGAGTCATTATGTTCTATTTCTGTATGTTTAAATACTTTTTCATTGTACACATCTGTTTCCACAGAGAATGGTACATATTGTATCTAATGTCTAAAGCAGCTGTTAAATGTATTGGGAGTTGCAGTAGTCCTGGAATGTATAAACAGACAAGATGATGTCATGCTATTTTCTTTATCCTGTCTACAATGAAATCCTAATAGGTCAACTTTATATCAGTTGATGGACAATAATAACTAACATTGCCAATAAGAGGTAGGCGATGTAGCTCAGATAATTTATCATCCTTTAGAAATATTCATTGAACCCCTCTCCTCCACACCTCTTTGGTATGGGAGATCTCAAAAATGTGCTGTAACATGTACAGATATACCGTAGACAACTTCATGTTTTATGATGGGAACCAAAAAACATTGTAGATTTTGAAACTGAAACTTACGTTTGCTTAAATGTAACAACTTAAGTCTTCTTTCATTTCTTTATTGTTAAAATAATTGTAGATTTGAAACTATTTTATGTCCTTATTGTATTTTCATTTTACTGGATAGGACTCTAAATTTTAGTTGCTTTAGCTTTTAAAAACAACAACCAATTGCACTTTGTGAAATCTGAGACAGGTCTCAAATATGAAATAACATCACAAATTTTTATAAAAAAAAGAAATTTATTGGAAAATAATGTTAATGAATTTGTATAAAATAAACAATGCTAAAGAAATTACTGTAGCTGGCTGCGTGCATTGTATGCTAAATACCATACAAATACTGCTACAGTTGCTGCAACAAACTCGCTCTGGAGTAATGGACCTTTCCACACACCCTGCACAAAACGAAACAAATTATATTCCATTAAAAGAAAATGAAAGCTTCACAACTAGATATCAGATCAACAAAATTTGAAATTAATTCATTTTATCTTAAAGAACTTTGTCACATTTAAAAGATATTTGGTCTAATTATGTTACAATTCATTTATGTCATGCTATACGAAAGAGTGGCCTCCCTTTACTTACAGGATGGTTAACATTGATGGTATGAACAGGTTTCACAGCTCCAGTATCATCTCCACTTCTCTGAGCCTGTAATGTAAATATTTCAATTAACAACTTTTAACATATAACAGACAAAATTAACCCTTTTTTAAAATTACATTACACTGATTTTAAGAATTTTAAAACTTTGCTTTGATTAAAGTGGAAAAAAACCTATTTCAAATTCAAAATCACTTTACCTTTCTAAGAGCAGCAAATCCTTCCTCATCAAACAGTCGGATTTCATAGGAGCCTGATGGTAGTTTGGAATGTTCATCACTGTAACTCACCTATACAATTGTAAATAGAATTCACAGATAATTTATTGCGCCATTTACTGTCTACATGCCTTCAAAGTTACAATAATGACATCTAGAATGCTCACTAAAACAGAAATGACTTTCTTTTCTTCTGTGTAAAACTTTGTTCAATCTAAACATCATATAATTCACCTCAACAATCATTAACTAGTAGAGATATATCTATATATTTTCATGTTTTTAAATTTGAATGAACCATTATGATAACTTTATAATCCATACTTATAAAATGACCAAGATCCTTTTTAATGTAAAAGAACTGAGGTAATATCATTGAAATAAACACATGTGAAAGTAATGCAATCAATGAAATAGGATATTTAACAAATAGAATCCATTACAACAATCCTTACTAGACATGTCCCTGTAGATTTTACAACTTTAAGAGAACATAAATGTGTATACACATAAAAACATAATATAGTACCAGTTTATTCAAGTATGACTGTGAGGAAAAACAAAATATTTTGAAATTATACTGACTTTGAAATGAGATATTTATATTTTTCATGTCCACTTTTACAAAAACCTTGTGGTAAATGTGTATAATTGACTTGATGTTACTTTACCTGATATTTATCACCATTGACTGTCCTGGTTACAGGAATCGTTTTTCCCTGAATGTCGGCATACAAGTTCAAATTCTGGAATGGTAAATATATTAGTAAGAAATACAAGGACTGACCAACCGATTTCTTGTCTTGATTTTTAAATGCTCTTCGTGTCCATCATTTAAAATAGTTTATACAATACGATTACCTCACTGATTGCATAAATTTGAATAAAATTGAATTTGAAATATTTTTTTGTGTAACAAAGGTAATAAAAATATTATTAACTAACTGTTCCATTTTTCATTGTACGGTAAGATTGCATTGTATTATATGGATAAAATAACAACGAACAGTTTCATATTTAATGTTTATTTGTTATAAGAACTATTTTCCTTAATAATGATTTTGTATCTTGTCATTAATGTTGTTTTCGTGATAAACTTTCTCACCGATACACTGTTTTTGCATTTCAATGTGAATTCAACAATGAATACAGTTTCTGTGGAGGTGACTGCCTCAGTTGTTGTATAAGTCTGGGTCTTGACCTCAGGTGCCAAACAGGTGTCTCCTGTGGAACATACAAAGAGTTTACAGAGAGTGTTGACATCAGCAATAACGTGACCTCATGTGATCAACCCTACAAGAGTGGATCACGATTTTCCAGGCAAATACATTACCAAATACATAAACACAATATTTTCTAATTCAATTTTATATAATTTAGGAAAATTAAATAATGCAACAGGGTTTTCAATAGACCTTTAAGAGTATATTTTAACTACCAAAATCCACATACATGCACAATGAATCCATATTGCTGATATGAAATGTTGCTATTGTGGACTAAAATGTGCTAGAAAGCATACAGATTTTTCATTTTATGTTCAAATCAATACCATGGAAACTTTGTCTGAAATATTGGTGACATTAATTACTTTTATACATAAAGTTTGAAATTTCAGCAACAGATAAATTGATTTGATTCTAATAATGATTTAAGATATATTTCAGACACACATTCCATTTGATGGTACATGCAAAATGAACATAAAATTCACCAATATAACAAAAGGTACTGTATATGATAAGAACTGTAAAGGGACTTTTGAAACATCATCTATGGTAGACTTGATTTTGTAATTAACAATACGATAAGGTACAATTTAAGATCCCTATCCTCAGAGCCTTTATATATATTGTATTTTTTAATTAATTGTTTTTCTTAATGCTTCTTGGGATGCGAAATCATTACATATCAATTTCTTCAAAATTACTTTATTTCAAAGTATTGAAATATTAATACAGTCATGAAAAATACTGTTACGGTATTACTCGTTGGTATTCCTCTTTGTCAGGAAGCGCATTCACCAGATTGCACATTAAGCGTACAACAAGTAGATAATAAAACAAAAGCCAATATTCAGTAGTTTTAGAGAACCATATCAACGATCAAGCACTCGTTGTTAAATTACAAAGGCAAACAATATATGTTCTCTTTGATCAGATCACATCCAACATCACTGTGCCACGTCAACACACAGTGCTGACAGAAAAGTACTAATTTCGTCTATAACGGACAATATTGTGATGTCAGAATGATGGTTCGTGATAAAGTAGCATATGTACAATTAATTGAAATAGTTTTATCAAAACAGTTTACCTAAAACACACAGCGGGAGGACAAAAAGACAGCACAGCACAACAAAACTGCTGGTAGTCGCCATATTTGCCGGGATGGAAAGGTCAAGCGGAAGTGCTCGCCGTACAGGTAGGATAACTCTGTTTTCACTAGAGGGAACGAATCAATCAATCAATATGTCAGCTACAGTTTGAATGCAGTAAGAGATGTCGACAAGACGATCCAGTATTAGTGATGTGTTCGTTAGATGCATATCAGTACTATATACATGTTATCAATGAAGTAAAAGGGCTAAAGGTTAAACATGTACATATTCCTTGTGTATTATTAGCAGATGATACGTTACTTCTCGCAGCGACGCTTTCTTTATTGCAGAAAGAGCTGGACATTGTTTATTCATATTCTGCAATGTGACGTTTAAAATATAACTCTGTTAAAAGTTCGTTTATGATTTTTAATTTGTCACGTCGATTTAAATCGGAACATCACAGTAAGATATCCTGTTATTTAGGAGGGGAGGCTATTCCTCAAACTACTCAGAAAACTTATGCTGGAGTATCATTTACTTGTAATTTACAATCCGACAATAGCATCTCCGAGTGATAAAGGAAGAAAAAGTTTAAATTCTCTTATTGGTATTGGCATCCACTCAAATGGGCTCAATCCCGTGACAAGTTTTAACATTATCAAATAAATCGTTTACCCTTGTATACTATATGGAAGCGAACTTTGGAACAATTATGCTAATAAATTTGTTATAGGATTAGAGGTAATGCATATGTATGCCTGTAGACGGTGCATCGGACTATCTAAAACGTCATCAACTTATGTAACAACGCAATGTCTAGGAGCTTTTAATGTATGGAGTGAGGTTGAAATTAAAAAACTGTTATTTTGGAATAAGCTATGTTTGGGAAATATACGCTTTATTTGGAAGTCATTATTCGTTATTCGATTATGTCAATTCATGTTTGGGGAGCTATCTGATGTACAAATAGGATTTATTCCAGATGTGTGTAACATCATGGAAAAGTTTAATATATAATCTTTTATTATGGACTTTCTAACCAATGAGTTTTTGCCGCCAAAACTATGTTGAAAGCATTTTATGAAAAGGTGCGTTAGTGATTTCTATTATATACTATGGAGAGAAAAGCTGTCTACAAAAACTGAACTGTCCAGATATGCTGCCATTCATTGTTATCAAGGAATTAATCCTATACTGTAAGTAGAAAACAAAAGTCGCATAAATATATGTGGAACCTAGTAGAGTTAATGAAGTACTCATTTATGTTTGAACAAGACATTGTACTTTGTAAATTATGTGGAAAGTCTAGTTCTGACATTGTGTTTCACTTTTTGATAGAGTGTCCAAAATTGTTTCAAAGTCGTGATGTGTTGATGGACGGTGTGGTGAATGCAATAGAGGTGCAATCTTATATCTTGTTTTCAAATTTAAACGATGAAAATCAGTGTAACTTTCTATTAGGAGACCGAACGAATGTACAATTAGATGAATCGGAATGGGAGCTTTTGATGGTAAATATGGCAGTTAATTTGAAAGGAATGGTTAACGAGATGGATGCACTGATGTAAATCTCTTTTCCCTGCCTGTGAGAAATATCTTTATGTAATTCAAAATGTAAATATATTTATTTTGTATTGATTGACAATAATCTCTTGCAAAGAGGAAATAAAGAATGTCTGTCTGTCTGTCTATATATAGTTGGCTATTTTCGGAAAATGTCCGCAAGAATTTCTCCAGGCTGTTATTTTTCACCATTAAACATAATCAAAACCTGTATGTCGTTTTTAAATGTGATTTATTTTCTTCATGTAATTTCTGACATCAGGGTTATGAATCATCTGACATAAGCAGAATCATTTTATTGTTGATAGGCCTATCACACAAGCTTACCAAGAAGCCTCCCATACAATGATCAAAACTAGTTGGGAATAATGTGGTAACTGTGCTGAATGGTTCTATTTGCGTGTCCAATATCAACCAATATTACAAATTGTAGATGAGCGCATGTGTTGTAAATTGTAAGTGTTCACAGAGACGTATATATCACGTCATGTGTTATATACCTCTCTGGTGTTCAGTGTTAATATACCAGAATTGTATTTGTGCACATGAATACTGACCTCTCGAGCTCCACACCTCCCCCTCCCCACACACCCCAACTCTCTCTCTAGTATATATATATACACATTTCGAGCTCGACACAACGACCAGTGACATGATTCCGCGATTTGCACGACAATCGAATTCCATACGTTTCAAAGACATACACATGCATCAGTTCAGTTCATCAGTTTAATTGGTCAATACTCGACGCTAGTAACACAAACAACATAAGACGGTAACAGAGGAATGAATTATATTGACCCCAGGTAAAACGAATTGTGATATGTTAGGTATCCGTCAGTCAACACTAGCAGGTCATATAGATAATATATACATGTAATATACTCTAAAGCCATATTGGACCTATTTACCCTACCACCGAGCGACGTAAAATCCTAGAACTATTATCATATCATTCTAAATCGCATGCGGATAAAATAAAAATCACTTTAATCAGAGGAAATAGAATTAATGAAATTAGTGGTAAAAACATCAAACTTACCGGCATTCAATGTACATGTACAAATACTTAACACTAATTTGATCATGCATAACTGGACGTGTGCCGGTGGTTTTGCTGAGATTTTATCGGATTAATAATTTAAGTGAACATTCTCACTTATCACTGTGATATCCGATTAAGATTGATATTTCATCTGAACAATACGATCTCGGAATCGAACTGAATAGAATAGTTCATTTTCATCACCCGATCTAAAAGAATGTCACAGCTGATTAAAATCACGTACCAGACACCCACTTATAGCATTGTGACAGAGGTAGTGGTTTATTTCAATATCTTCGTTAGGATTTGAACCCGGAACCTCTGGCTCACTAGTCAGACGCTCAACCGACCGAGGAAAAGATAACTTCTCTCTAGCCGAGCGGTATATTGTGGCTAGTTTGGTACAGTAAGTATCTATATATAACTGTATGAAACGGGAAATCTACAGAAAACACAAACACTCACAGATGTACCGGTGAATTTGGGACAGAATTAATGTCCCCATAGTTTTATGTGGCATGCAATTATCGCCGATGACCCGGTACCTGATTGAGTTGTCATGGGTTCGAATTTTGGTCTTTTGTCTGGTGACACATCCTCGAAATTCTCGATGGGTTACAAGCAAGTCCGGATGGTGATGATAAAATCGATACCCAACTGAACATGACGTTTGACCTGAATGACCAAAGCCAACCTATGTAACCTATCAAAATGCTTGATTATAACCTTTAACCCTACATGTTTTTTACCTGATGATTTCTGCGCTCGTTAAATTGTGTGATGACGCTCGATCCCGCTTTACTCGACAATACTTGTTCGATCATGACCTGTCTTTCGACGTAGCCATGGTAACGTTTATTGAAAAACGAATGGCCGCCGCAAGTGTGAATCAATAACTGTCATGATGAAATAAGCTAGAAAAGATGCCATTTTTGAATCAAGTAACGACCAGGAATGCACGTGTAATTCAGGTGAGAGACCCCAAGTGGTATCTGCTTACAGTACATGGCGATAACCTAAGGTAAGTAAACAGATTTTTATTATCAATGATAAATCATAAATATTTTCCGTTTGAAATTATATAGCAAAACTATTTCTTTACATTTGTACTTCATGTAATTGATTGATAGATCACCGTCATACTTTCGTCAGCCACAAACGTGTGGAGTGACTACATTGTACTAACTTTTTGTACGGACCAAAGCGAATTAATGTCTACAAGGGTACATATGTCACTGATAAGTATATTTAGATTATCCTGTAGATTGGATGGTTTGATAGGTCGGGTTTCAAAAGTGGTTCGGATGTTGGGTATTTGTAATGATGAATGGTGACTTTAAAACTAAATATGAAAAAAAAACATTCATTGAACTGAAAGTATCCCTGTAATATCTAGCACCCTCTCCTATAACCACCCATCTCATACACGTATCTGATACTCATACCATATGCACCTGGGTGACCGCACTCCAGAGACTGGAGTCGAACATCATTTAATTTGTTATTGACGAACGATATGGAAAAATGAAGAACAGTTTGGGAGAATGGGAAAGGCGCAAGAGAAGGGAGGGTGAAGCGGAGAGTAATTTGGGAGGAAGCAATACGAAAACGTACAGGACACGGAAGAGGAGGAGAGAAAATAGGAAGAAAGACTGGGAGGAGAACAATTTCGGAGGAAGGAGTGTGAGTTTGGGAGTAGGGAATAGGTGAACAGTCTGGAGGAGTGAACAAGAGGCAGAGGAGGAGGAGGAGGAGAAAAATTTCAGAGGAAAAAAATGTGAGGAGGAGGAGATGAAGGGAGAGGATTTTAGCAGCTTGAGAGGAGGAGATGAAGGGAGAGGATTTTAGCAGCTTGAGAGGAGGAGATGAAGGGAGAGGATTTTAGCAGCGTGAGAGGAGGAAATGAAGAGAGAGGATTTTAGCAGCTTGGGAGGAGAAGATGAAGGGAGAGGATTTTAGCAGCTTGAGGATTTTAGCAGCTTGGGAGGAGATGAAGGGAGAGGAGTTTAGCAGCCTGGGAGGAGGAGATGAAGGGAGAGGAGTTTAGCAGCTTGGGAGGAGGAGATGAGGGGAGAGGAGTTTAGCAGCTTGTGAGGAGATGAAGGGAGAGGATTTTAGCAGCTTGGGAGGAGGAGATGAAGGGAGAGGATTTTAGCAGCTTGGGATGAAGAGCAGAGCTGTTTGTGGGAAGGAAGGGAGCCGCACTAACACCAACAGTTTTAGGGTTTGTGGTATCGATCGCCTCTCACACCTGCTTAATTTGTCTCCATCGTGATTACGGAAAAGAGCGTTGGAATTCGCCCCTTGAGGCTTATTGAGCAAGGGCGACAGCGAGGAGAGGCAAGTTCATCTGTCAAGCCTTACATTTCTTATAACTGGGATATAATGACCAAATAAAAAGTGGCACTTCAGACTGCTAACTTTGTAGTCTGACTGCTAACTTTGTAGTCTGACGGGTTAATTTTTGTACAAAATTACAGAACATTG